CGGTGTCATTAGAACATCACCGAAGTTGACAGACCTGAGCACTACCAGCAGGTTGGGATAAACGGCAAGGGATGGAGTGGTGATGTGGTTAGGGACTTAATTTTTAGAATAAGACATGTACCAGGGACGTATTAGCAAATTAAGATAATATAACTATATTGCAATTGAGTTCTTATGACAATTTCATAATTTATTGAAACTTATTCAGTGCACAAAATATAATTAATACGAAACTATTAAAAACTTAATCGAGACAAAATATAGACAAGTAAATATCAATGCCGATATTGAATTAAAATAAATGAATATTAAAAGTAAAAATAAATTATCAAACTGACATATAAAGATTCGAACATAAAATTAGACCGTTTAGTTTCGTTCAACTTGTGTAGTCAGACAAATATTAATGTGCGGCTCGTCTAGCACTATTGTGCATCGTTTTGGCCACTATTGTGCAGCCCGAATCGACATAACTTTTTGTCTTCGACCAAATTGGATCAGAACAGAATTAGTTTCTTTATTCGGACGGTTAACCAAATTACTCTAATTATTAAAAATAGTTTATTTTTATGTTAAAACATAATTAGTATATTAAAATTTAATATTTTTTATATTTTGTTCGTTGAAAAATAAATAACATTTTTAAATCAAAACATGTGAATATTGATGTGCAATCCGATAGTTACTAATGTGCAACTTGGTCTAACATTATTGTGCATTCACATCGCATCCTGCATCGGTTGAACTTCTGTCTCGAACCAAATCTAAATGTAACAGATATATTTAGTGTATTCGACTGGTTCACTGAATATTTAATTTATATGGTTGGTTGACCGAATTAATCAAAATAATCAGAATAAAATATTATTTAATATATAAAAATGTATTTAGTATTTTTAATATATATATATTATATATATATATATATATATATTTGCTGAAATGAATAATTTTTTATATAAAAATATAAATTCGACATTGAGTCCGAAAATTTTATTTCGGTCGGTTTTGGCACTAGTGTGCAGTCTGTCAAAAATTAATGTGCAATTCATCTAATACTACTGTGCATTGTTTTGATCACTATTTTATGCAGTTTGAACATACTGAAATTGTCACAACCCAAATTGAAACTGAATTGAATTACTTGGTACAATTTTAATGTGCATATTCTTATGAATTAATGTGCATTACATCTATCAGTATTGTGTATTTATTAATTTTTTAATATATTATTAAACTTTTAATAAATTACAGATTCGACCCATGAACTAAATTGTTGTCGTTACCTAATCTTGGTTACAAGAAACCAACCACTCAACCCTTGGGAAAGTTTGTTCGTCCAATCGAAGGAGCTCAGATGGAATTTGGAGAGAAGCTCTAAAATTATGAGTATTATGACCCAAAAGCTTATAAACTCCTTGTCAAATCTGGATACAATCCGAAAGAAGTGAATACTCTAGCAATCCTTCCGCAAGCAGCAAAAACTCAAACAAAAGATATTGGGTTTCAAATACTAGAATTAGTCTCGAATTCTTAGTACCAAATCCAGTTCGGATCGTTATAAAAAAAAATCATTTCTAACCACGTGTTCGAAGAGGGATATTCGTCCACTAATCATTTGAAAAATGGAAAAAGGAGATCAGTATTTTAAAGGCGGGGACCCGTTCAAGAGCTAGAATCTAAAAGAACAAGTCATCAAAGACTTAGTATGCGAAGTATTGCGAAGTATTGTGAGATGTGGGAAGATAGAAAGAAAGTTCCACAAGATTTGAAGTTTGGTACCTTCACGAATGAATTGAAAAACCACATTGGAGCGAAGATGCAAACAATCGTGAACACGAGAGTAATGGGTGAAGAAGAAAGTAATGGAGCACTTCATCCAATCAAATGAGTGGTGCGGTCCCGAGAGTAAATCCTCGAAATGTCGAAGGCACATTGTATCGGAGAATCGCTACATTGGTGAGAAATTGGTGTATTTATGAAGACAATGACAGTTTGTGTCATGTCGTTCGAAGAGACGAACAAGTTAGAAATGTATTAATTTCAAAAGTCTTGATGACCCAACTGAAGATGTTGCATATATAAGTCTCATCACCATATGTGAAGATGCCCAAGTAAATGAAGAAGACGTTGAGGATATAATTTATTGGTTGGCGAAATGACGCTATTGCCCTCCAATGTATTTATTTGTCCATAATATTGTAATATAATTACAACTGCCATTGCAGTTTTTTTATTATAACACAATTTTGACTTAATCATATCCATTGATATAATTGATCCAATGGTTCATGATCATTCTTATTTCTTTCATTGCCAATCATTCTCATGATCCCTTATATATATATATATATATATATATATATATATATATATAATACTAAATATATTTTAAGATATTAAATAATGTTTTATTCTGAATATTTTAGTTGATTCGTTAAACCAGCCAAAGAAACTAAATATTTCAGTTAACCAGCCGAATAAACTAAATATATCTGTTTAATTTTAATTTAGTTCGAGACAAAAGTTAAACTAATTCAGGATGCATTCTGAGTGCACAATATCATTAGACGAGTTGCACGTTAATAACTATCAGATTGCACATTAATATTTACAATTTTTATATGTAAAAATGTTATTTATTTTTCAACGAACGAGATATAAAATGTATTAAATTAAAATATTAATTATGTTTTATAATAATATTTTTTTTAATATTTAGAATAATCCGGCTAACTGTCCGAATAAACCAAATAATTAAGTTTAGATCCAATTTGATCTAAGACAAAAGTTCAGTCGATTCAGACTGCATAATAGTGTTAGCCGAGTTGCACATTATATTTGTCTGACTATACATGAGCGAACAAAACTAATCGGACTAAAATTTTATGTTCGAATCTTTATATATCAGCTCTTATTTATTTCTACTTTTAAACATCCGATTATCTTAATTCAATATTGGCTTTGTTTTTGAAAATTTACTTGTAAATATTGTGTTTCTATTAAGTTTTTAAAAATTTCGCATTAATATCGTGCAAATTACTTATCAGTATTGTGCAATGACTAAGTTTCAATTAATTGCGAAATTGACATAAGAACTCAATTGCAATATAGTTATATTATCCTAATTTGCACATTAGTCCCTGGTTCCGGTCCAGTTCTCAAAATTAAGTCCCTAATCACATCACCGCTCCTTCCTTGTCGTTCATCCCAATCTGTCAGTAAAGCTCAGGTCTGCCACATTCGATGACGTGCTAATGACACCGGATAGATCTTGGACGCAGCCTGAAGCCTAATCTCGTCGCCAATTTTATTGAGACTAGTAATGATGTGAATCTGTGATATTGGTTTTGAAATTATTACCTCGACGTTGTCGCCGAGGAATGTCGGGGACTCGACAGCAAATGGAGAACTCGTATCAGACTGTAAATGTCGTCCGGAGCCTGGTTTGAGTTCGCCGGAGAAGGGAGGTCGCGACGGCCTTTTCTAGAACAGAAATTGAAAACGAGCAGACATATTGAGAGGGATAGATCATAGATATCCATACATATAGATGACGCGAAAGTGATGGGCGACGAAAAATGGTGGTGATTACGGCGACGTCGGTGGTGGCGACGGTTTGCGGAGAGTGGCGTCGGACGTTGGCCGTGAGCTACCTGCGGGCTGCTTGTAGATTGATGGCGGTAGCCGGAGGAGGAAGGTTGATGGTGGGGCGGCAACCGTCCATCGCCGGCGGGAGTCATGGTGGTCGGATCTAGTGTGTGTTGTGTTTGTGGACTGTGTGTCTGTGTGAAAAGTGTCTGAGAGATGATGTGGGGTTCACTATGAGTTGTAATTTTTGTGATGACCATTATACCTTTATACCCTTACAATTCATTTGAATAGATATTTGATTTTCTAAAAAAAAAATTCTATATATGAAAAGTTCAAAAATGATCATATAATATCATCATATAATCTCAAATAATAAGAAAGCACAAAAAAAATTAAATAAATAATAAGAAATTTGTGGTCAGTTGTACAAATTGGACCACAAAAGTTCAAAGTATTCACCATAATGTCATTATTTTTTTTATTGTGCTTCATTATCATTTGAACGCACTTTTATATATATAAATATATAAAGCTTAACTCTTTACTTAATAAACACTATTTTTTTAATGAGAATCATGTTTTATTAAATTGTCTTCTGATGTTTTATATTTAGATATTGTGGTCGATCACGGATAAGATAGAAAATCACATATACATTATATGAATTGAGTTTGGGTTTGTCAAGATCACACTAGAACAATTTGTTTGGGTTTTGAATAATTGAGCTACGAAAAGTGGCATTCGTTATCAACTTAGAGACTTCATAACAACCTAGATGAGAATCCTGTAACATTTAGGTATAACTAAGGTGCATCACATAATTAAGCTAAGCTGCGGGATAATTGTAGTACGACGAGCCAACTCTTCATAAGATCAAGAAATAATTACACCATCCTGAGGCTTGAATAAATGTAATAAGATAACACAACTAAGAAAAAACAAGGAATCTCAAAATCGTCCGAAGTTGAAAAACACTCGTCCAAAATATGTAAAACAATGATATGATGATACGAAGTTTCTTTTTAAGTGCTACAGAAGAGAAAAATCTTGGACGACAA